TATGTTCCTCTGTACCTATGTTCCTCTGTAACTATGTTCCACAGTACCTACGTTCTCCAGGACCTATGTTCCCCAGGACCTGTGTTCCACAGTACCTATGTTCCTCTGTAACTATGTTCCTCTGTACACTATGTTCCCCAGTACCTATGTTCCTCTGTACCTATGTTCCACAGTACCTGTGTTCTCCAGTACCTGTGTTCCCCAGTTCCTGTGTTCCTCTGTACCTATGTACCTCTGTATCTATGTTCCTCTGTACCTATGTTCCACAGTACCTGTGTTCTCCAGTACCTGTGTTCCCCAGTTCCTATGTTCCTCTGTACCTATGTACCTCTGTATCTATGTTCCTCTGTACCTATGTTCCCCTATGTTCCCCAGGACCTGTGTTCCATAGTACCTATGTTCCTCTGTGCCTATGTTCCCCAGTACCTACATTCTCACAGGGTTAATAATGAAAGTCATGAAAGATACTTTTAAAATTCTTCAAGATGAGCTTTTTGCATTTTCATTTTTTGCTTCTTTGTTTGATAAGCTCCATATAATTCTGTTTACATATAAATATGAAGAAGAAAAACAGAGGAATGAGACACCATTCTGACAAACATCATGATCTTGTCTTCATGGGGAACTCTCTCTGTAGGTTTTGAATTCTGGGAATTGAACAATGTTTTTTTTTTCAGATTTTCTGGAGAACTTTCTAAATCTTTAAAAAAAGATGATGGAAAATGTCAACTGCTATCTTTGCTTTGGACGTGTGWTTCAACTACAGGCAGCTCTCCAGTTTTGACTTGGCTGAACGCTGAACATGTTGGTTTTTTAAAAAGTGACAGAAAAGACACATCTGTCCTGCCTCATTTTAGCCTCACTGAATGTTAACAACTGAGTTTTTCTAGCTGTTGGGCTCATCCTAATGAGCCACATCTCAGTCATCTATCTTCAAGTCACTACTTCCAAAAATCTAAGCACCCATTGCTACAGAAAATATCAACCTCTAAGATACGGCAAACAAACTGAAGGTGGTGAGTTTTCTTTAAAAATAACTATTTTTTGAGTGTTTTTAATGTATTGACAGAAGAATGTTTACAACATTCAGTGTCTTTGGAAACAAAGTAAGCTACAATGTTTTTATTTGCACAATAAAAGTCTAAATTTTGACATTTTCTTGCTTGCAGGATGTTGTTGTTCTGTTCAGAAGAATTTAGCTACTTTAAGACAACATTTTTAGTCCAGACCAGAGGCACCACCTTCCTGTCTTGATGTATAAAATGACTGAGGCAGAGGGTGATCCACWACAGAACGTCACTCCCAAACCTGAAGTGCAATTTCTATGTTTGTAATGAAGAAACAACTGTGTTCAAATAAAGACATAAAAGCTTTCAATTGAAAGAAAACTTTTACAAAGTGGCTTGTTTATAATTCTTTATGGATTGTTTTTGTACATTGTCCTAAGATGAATTATTATTTTTATTATTTAAATTAACTTACCTAAATTAAGCTTATTACAGAAAAATAGACTTTTGGAAGTAAGAATTTTTTGTTTTTGATAATAATAAAACATAAATAAACCAACGAAACATTTACATCTTGTACAACAAAACAAATAAAAATGTGTAATGAACAAAAAAAGAGGCTAAAAATTACAGTCAGCTGTTTGTCTACAACATACATTTGTCAAGAAGCTTTGGGGACACCGGACAAGTTACAGCACGAGGGTTTTTCATCATAATTTAGCAGCCAAGACGACACAATGATGAGTGCTGCAGAGGATTTACAGTTCAACAAAAAGTGTAATCAACACCCAGAGATTAAAAACTYGTAATGAAATACTGCTCCGATCAGCTCGGGGAGCAGCTGAGGAAATTGTTTGACACATTAAGCAAATAACAGCAGGCTTCACATTTCAAAAATCATGAAAAAAATCAGATTTCTTTTTGACACCCTCACCTGTCAACAGCCGGATGGTAGAGCGGCCGCCCATCCTGAGGTGACAAGTAGCTGTAAAACGGTGATCCTCCCACCACACGGATGTTGAAGAGTACTCTGGTATTCTGTAAGAGGACAAAAACAACAATAACACAGTTATGGTATTGTTTTTATCGACTTTTCATACCAAAAATTTTAATGAACTTTGAATCCAACCACATCACATGCCCAGACATTTCTCTTCAGAGAGACACAGCTCCTTCTTGGGGATGCCAAGGTGTTGCCCAGCCAGTGATAATATTTAATACTTCTGGTGGGTTCTACATGGGACCTCCTCGCAGTGGGACGAGCCAAATACACCTGCTAAAGGGCTCGACACATGGGGAGCAACAAACAGCGACAGGTGACAGTCACTGCCACCGGGGTGAAACCAAATACACGGGATGCGATGGTGACGGCAGAGTAATGAATCGCGCTCTCGGATTGCTTGTCTCAAAAAAATCCGATTGGTTCTTCTTCTTCTAGTAGATACTATTTATGCATATTATTTCACTATAAAATTATTATACATTTTTTATCAAAGTAAATATTGATGGGTAGGGTAGTTATAAACAAGCCAAATTTTGCGATGCTAATGATAATACTGAGAAACTTACAAAAACACATGCTAGGAAACAACTTCATGTGGAGAAAACTTACCAGACAACTTCCCCCTGGAGCCAATCAGATTCCATTCAGCAGCCTTTTTATGTGCATCTCGGTAATCACTTTGTGAAGTCTCATATAAATGTTGGACACAGCTAAAATAATATTTTCCTCCATGTTAAAAGTGTTGCTGACTGCAGTGTGGAGCATACCCTCTGCTCATTGGTCAGTCAGTTAAACTCTTGCTAATTGATTGTAGCGCCATGCGACAGTGACAAAACTTTCTTGTGTCGAGTTGCAAGCCCGCATGTACACGTCTACGTGTATGAGCCTGAAATTTCACATGAACAAATTTCGCCAGTCGCTTGGCTGGAGGAGGTCAAACAATTTTCGCCTCATCGCAAAACTTTCATAGGAAATGAATGGAGAGGGAGTGACGTTGCCTCCCATGCGTCATCACAAAGGTCAGCTTCTTTTTCATTACAACAGACTGGAGCAACAACTTTATTATTGCAGACAGAGCCTCAGGCCACTTGTCCATCTTGCTCTGTCCTACCATCAATAAGACTCCCAAATACTAGAACCCCTCTACTGGGAAGATTTGAACCTTTTACTGGTCGAGAACTAGGGTTGGGTGGTATTGATCATAGTCAAACCATTACACATCAGTAACATTATGGGGCATTTTCTTATAGAGCCTAGAATGTTTATGTCCCAGTTTTTATAGCAGCCTTGTTGAAATCTGGCACTTCACCTCACCTGACTCATACCATCCTAAGTTTTAAATATTGTCATATTTTGATACCGCAGTATACAAAAATACTGTCATACCGCCCAAGCCTATCGAGAACTATGGCCTCTAATGCGGAGGTGCTGAATCCCATCCCAGCCACTTCACAGTTAGTTGTAAAGTCAGAGATATCAACAGGATTACATCATCAGCATAAAATGGAGAAAAGATTCTAAGGTTTCCAAATCAGACAGCCTACATGACTGCTATGAGATCCTGTTCGTGAACATCACAAACAAAAGTCTACCTCACAAGCTCAACTTTGTGTTGAAGATGTGATTCATGAGAGTTTGAACGTCCAGCTCACGTGTTTGTAGATTTAGAGAAGGCAGCTGTGTGGGCCAAGTCTGCTGGAGTAGCTTTTTGGGGCCATCTACTCATTTCAAAACTGTTCTCCAACCTGATAGAAAACTGCACGCTGAGAAGAAGACAGAAACACAAACAAAGTGCCAATATCTGTTTTCTTCCCTCGAGGCACAAGAATATTACTCTGAGATCTGCATGCTCTCAGAATAAGGGAACAATTTGCTAAAAATGAAATTGATTTCCTCTTGTTCCACAGAGATCAGATGTATCTGCTAACTAAGACCCCCCACCCCACCC